ATTATAGTGAAAATTCATGAATTCTTTGAAAATAAACTTCTCTGCTCCTGGGTCAGTTGAACTACCTATACAGTTATGAACAAGGACCCTAGTCCTCCAGAATTGTAAATTTCAAGGCCCCAGGGTCAGGGGTACTATAGAGAGGGGGGCTGTACTTATAGACTGAAAATGAATGAATTGTTTGAAATCTGCTCCTTGGTATTAATCAAATATTTTTGAAAAGCAAGGATGCCTTTTCAAAAATTGTGCAATGTGTGGATCTAGGCCTAAAGGTCAGGGGTCCATGTGTGGTAGGGGCACTACTGATTATTGCTGAATATTACTGATTAGTTGGAATGCATTTTTTGTTCCTCTGCCTTGCCTATGGGTATTAAGTAACCAAACTAAGCAACTTCTAAGTGTATAGTTATGATGATCAATGATGCCTCTTTCAAAATTGTGAATGCCATAGCATATGGCTTAAAAAATGAATCAAATTCAATCAATGGAAAGTTGTTGCATAATGCTCAGGTGACCTATAAGGCCCATGGGCCTCTTGTTTTATTATGGTATACATGTGTCAGTAAAAATAACACAAAGTATCTATAACTCCGAATTGCACTTGGTACCCCCCCCCCGATTAGGGGGAAAAAAGAAGAGCATGTGCAGTTCGGGGGTGGGGAGGGGGGATCCCCCCTGACTGAATTTGTAAAATTATCAAATATATATACACTTGTACATGTAAATTGAAGCATATAAATATACATAGCGGAAATGAGGTCACATACATGGAAATATTCACGTTCGATATTGTCAAAATTTTACATAATCCATGGTGTCTACTTTAGCCTTTATAAAACAGTTCTAATAGATGTAATAGGAATAAAAAGTCCGCCAACAACCTGTATTATACGTAATAACTCTCCGCATGCCCCTGTGAAAAAAAAGAGCCAAGCGACATTTAATACAATAAATACTGATAAAACAAATGGGTGGAACACTGAGAAGGTGAGAGACTTTCCACTCGGCGAGTAGAGTTTTGACGTTGTTTACGGAAAAAAAAGAAATCAAATACATGCATGTTATATATGGTTGTGTAGGTAAATTATTGTAAAAGACAATTGCAATAAACAATTTGCCAGAGCATTTCCTCTGAAAGTGTAAATGAGTGCGTTTCTGAGGAAAGGGGGGGGGGGTTGAGTGTAATTCAGAGTTAATAGATACTCTGTGTAATTATTATACTATGGGTTAAAATTTATTTCCGAAACAAGTGGTTGTGGTCAAAACTCTACCTAGGGAGCTTTGGTATAAGATTTCAGTACAAAAGCTCAAAATCTTCTTGAAATATCGCCCGAAAACGGTTCTTATGCAAAAATATTTGTCTAAAAAGAAGTTTTGATTCATGACTGCAGAAAATTATATCATTTCTTATCTAAGTTTGAATGAATTCAAGAGTGTTCGATTGAAGTACATTAATTTTCTGCAATTATTATAGGGTGGTGAAAACTGAAACGCAATATAACTTTTCTGTTACTTCCTAACCACATTTCCGTGAATAATTTACCCATCTCGATTGCAGTCTCGCTTACTCTCGCCAGAGCAACTGCCAGCGCTACTCTGAACTCATCGGGTTTTATAATTTGCAGAACACTCAAAAATAAAAGGTTCCGAACACAATAGTAGGGGTGTTCATGGTTGAATTCGACTTTCCACTCGGCGAGTAGAGTTTTGACGCTGTTTATGGAAAAAAAGAAATCAAACACATGCATGTTACAATGAAGCGCATTGAAGTGGTAAAATTTTCCGTTTGGATGAAACGTTCTGAGTCATGCTTTGAACGTCAAGTATAATATAATGACACGCCCATAATTTTAGAAACGAGAAAGAAATATTCGTCGTGATGTTTTAGGACACCCCACTCTTCGCGACAAACAACATGAGTTACACTGAAATGGACCTTTAAAAAATTAGAAGAAAGAATTAGAGACTCCCCGCTTCTCTAAAACTCAAATTGCAACGAATATGAACATATTTTTGAAGTTATCATGTCTATTGAAGTTACCACAACACATGTTTCGGTCGAACACGCGTTTACTTGGTGTTTATTTAGACTGTCAATTTGATTGGCTACTATATTTATGGAAAACCTGTTCTACAGGTATTCGAATAAACAAATTGACCGTTTTATCCATTTCTAAAGAAATGGGCGTGTCATAAGATGACAATAATCGTTCTAAAGATAGCTCAAAACGTTCCATTCGAACGGAAAATTTTACCACTTCAATGCGCTTCATTGTATATATGGTTGTGTAGATAAATTATTGTAAAAGACAATTGCAATAAACAATTTGCCAGAGCATTTCCTCTGAAACTGTAAGTGAGTGCGTTTCTGAGGAAGAAGGGGGGGGGGGGTATTGAGTGTAATTCAGAGTTAATAGATACTTTGTAATATAATATAAATTCTTTATTTAGACAGGATAGCACAATTAGTACATATGACTAGTTTACATTGTGGTCCTGTATAAAACATATTTACAGACAGATATTTAAAAAAAAAGTAGAAACTAGAGTAAAAAAGAATATATACATTGCATATTATATCAGACATATTTGTACATACTAATAAATAAACTACTAGTATTAAATATTGTGTAAAAATTTGTGTAATTATTATACTATGGGTTAAAATTCATTTCCGAAACAAGTGGTTGTGGTCAAAACTCTGCAAAGGTAGAATTCAACCATAAAACGGCATGTGCTGATCTCGAGCAGAGAGCAAAACAAGCTAATTCAGAGAATGTGTGTCCCCCGCTTAGGGAAAAAAGAAGACCATGCGCAGTTCGGGGGGGGGGGTCCCCCTGACTGGATGTAGAATTATTAAATGTATACATGTTTATTGAAGTAAATCAAAAATACCAATATGGATATAAAGATTTGATTGCTTATTTTTATTGTGTGTATAGAAGATTATTTTTACACAGAATATTTATCAGACTGTAATGATGATTTTATGAGTTTGTACATGCCAGACGTCAAATCTTTTTCATATTTTCATATCACATGATGCTGAATACATACTATCATTTAGTGAAAAAAAGTATTTTTTAAAAAAAGAAAGAAAATGGATCACTCGGCAATCGAATCCGGGGCCTCTTGAATGTCAAGCGAGAGACATACCATTACACCACGGAACCTCTTTCGACTGTCGAAAATTATATGCAAACATTAGGTCACATACATGTATATATTTACGTTTGCTATTGTCAAATTTTACACAATGCATGGTGTCTAATTTAGCCTTTATTAAACAGTTCTAGACTAAAAGATGTAATAAAAATGAAAAGTCCGACCTGCATTATACGTAATAATTCTCCACATGCCCCTGTGCTAAAAATAGTGCCAAGCAACACTCAATACTAATTAAACAAACGGGGTGGGACACTTTGAGAGGGGTGAGAGAGGCCCTAGGGAGTTTTGATGTAAAAATTCATTGCAAAAGCTCAAAATTTTCTTGAAATATCGCCCGAAAACCACAGTGTTTCACACTAACAGAATATATACATTTACGACCTTGAACTTTGGCCTTTTGACTTCAAAATCAATAGCGTTTTCCTTAGGCCACAGGGAGTTTTTATGTAAAATTTCATTGCGAAAGCTCAAAGGGTTCTCGAGATATCGCGCGGAAACGAAAGTGTTATAACAGACAGAATTTGCGAATTTATGACCTTGACCTTTGACCTCAAAATCAATCGGGTTCTTCTTTAGTCCCTAGGGAGTTGCTAGGCAAAATTTCATTGCGAAAGCTCAAAGGATTCTCGAGATATCGTGTGGAAACGAAAGCGTTACAGACAGACAGACGGACGGACAGACCCAAATTAATATCCCCCACTTTTCAAGCGGGGGACAATTAGGGGGTTAAATCGTCAAAGTGAGCTAAAAATGAGACAAAATAATCATCTTTTTAATTTTTTTTCAATTGGGCCAATATATGTAATATTGCAGCCAATTAATAAGGCGGTTTTTTAAGTTCAGAATTCATCATCAGTCCGAAATTTAATTTCACAAATACAAAGAAATTTCGTATATGGAACAAACTGAATTTAACGTATTCTCTTTAGAGAAGTTAGTGGACAGGCTTTGAGTTTGCTTACATCAGGCGAAAGCCTATCCACTTCTCTAAAGAGAATAAATTTAACGAAGACATTTCTTAGATTGACTCACATACAAACACACATCTAATCTCCTCCCACAGGATCGGAAAGTTACATGAACAGGGGGAAATTGTATATGACATCTATTTACAACACTGAAATTAGATAGAGTAAAGCATAACAAATTCATAGAACACAATCCGAAGATCTAACCATAAACTGATAACAGTGATAACAAGAATGAGTAAATGACATTGATATCGCGAGACAGTCCTTTATGTCAGGAAGTAGATTTGCTACCATGTGCAAAAATACCTTTTCTAAACATCAAATCAAAACCATTAATTTTCATCTACAGATGTCATACAAGACCGAAGTAGAACAATTATAAATATATATAATGATTGATGATTAATAATTTGCCATTTATGAAGTTAACCCTCAACATAATCATAACAATTGAGTTTGAAGAAATTGTTAAAAACTGTCTGTGGAAATACTTTTAAAATGATAAATATATTTTTGCAGCATAGGCGTCGGAACCGGGAGGGGGGGTTGCTTAGCCCCCCCCCCCCCCCCAACTTTTTTTTTTGCAAAATATATCATGTATATATAGGCATTGAAAATTGGGGTTTACCTTTTTTCGTTGGTTTAGCCCCCACTTTCAATTTGCTTCCGACGCCTGTGTGCAGCCGATTAATTTGTGGTTAAGGTAAGATCCATCATATTTATGCTGAACGTTATGTCACACGCCGCTAATTTTTCCCGGGGGGCGAAACCAAACGGAATTAACATGTTATCGGCGCGAACCCATTCGTTACCGTTTTGCGCATGACAGATTCATTCGGCACATCTCGGATGATTACATCTACTCTATCTAATGTGATGTAGGGTACCTGAACCAAAATAGCAACAGTTGTAGCCTAAATGTAAATGGTCGTTGATATTATAACTGTAAGTTAACGTACTAATTATTAAAAAATTATTTCTTAATGGTTACACGGGGCAATGAGGTATAATATGTGGACAGTTTTTGCCATGTTTATCCAGGGGTTCGGATTGTAACAGGTCCAACCCAATCCCTTGTCTTGATTAAGCTAGGAGTCTATATATATAGTACAGAATATATATAACCAAGTAGATCTACATAACATGTAGTTATGTTGAATAAGGTGCCTCTTCAATAATTGTTAATTTCATGACCCCAAGGTCAGGGATTCTAGTGTTAGGGCGGGGCTTTTTTGATTACATAGTGAAAATGGATTAATTCTTTAAAAATCTCCTCCTCTGCTCCTGAGAATTAAAGCAATGAACTATGTACATAGTTATGATGAGGAAGGATTCCTCTTCCAATTTTGTGAATTTCAGGGCCCCTGGGTCAGGGGTTTTGGTGATAGGGCGAGGCTCTTATAATTATATAGTACATGTAAATTGTTGGTGAAAGGCAATGATCAAATTCTTTGAAAATCTTTACCTTTTTCCTGGGTATTTTGCCAATGATCTAAGAAAATATTTATGATGAAGAAATGGTCCCTGGTCAGGGGTATACTGGGGGGGGGGGGGTACATAGTCTGAAAATGAATTAATGCTTTGAAATCTGCTCTTTGGTATTATTTATGCCCTTATTTTTTGACACTTAATGTGCTTAAATTTTGTTTCATTTCAGTTCCATTGAGTAACATAAACAAAGTGTGTTATGTTTTCTTTTTGTCTGGAAATATGGTTGGTAAAGATGACATGGTGGACGCTGAATTGCCATCTCGTGATGCAGCAAAAGAATTTTATGCCAAATATGAACCCAGAGAGGCTTTAGGAAGGTGAGAGATAACAGCTACTGTTTTATTTTATTATTTTAAACTATGGAAAAATCTTTTTTTAGCTCACCTGAGCCAAAGGCTCAAGTGAGCTTTTCTGATCAAAATTTGTCGGTTGTCTGTCGTCGTTGTCGTCGTCGTTGTAAACTTTTCACATTTTCATCTTCTTCTCAAGAACCACTGGGCCAATTTCAACCAAACTTGCTACAAAGTATCCTTGAGTGAAGGGGATTCAAGTTTGTTCAAATGAAGGGCCACCCTTTTCCAAGGGGAGATAATTATGAATTAGAGAAAAATTAATGGCATTTTTAAAAAAATCTTCTTCTCAAGAACCACTGGGCCAGGAAAGATGAAACTTATGTGGAATCATCCTCAGGTAGTGTAGATTCAAGTTTATTCAAATCATGACCCCTGGGGCTAGTGTGGGGCCAAAATGGCTGATCAAAGTTTTACATAGGAATATATTGGGAAAATCTTTAAAAATCTTCTTCTCTAAAACCACTGGGCCAGGAAAGATGAAACTCATGTGGATTCATCCTGAGGTAGTGCAGTGATTGGGAAGGGCTTGCGCCATGCGCCATAGTCGCATTGAAGTGAAAAATGGCGCATTAAATCAATCAATCATGGCGCCAAGGTGCGCATTCAATTTTTAGCGATGTTATTTGGAAATATTTTGCGTACGACTTTCTTTCTTGTTTTACTTTTTTAAAATACAGTCAATTTAAAACAACAAATCTCATTGGTTGAAAGTCAAAAAGTACTTCCGGTTAAACGAAGCACTTACATTAGGTACATTAGTTCATTCATTTGTATTTTAGGGCTGTTTGTTTCCAAAATTATGAATTTTAACACAGAATAGGGTTAGTTGTATTCAAAAAAGGCCTTTAAATTTGCTGCATTTTACATAAAATATATAGGAAATTAAAAACGTGTTTTAAAATTTCATATTTGTTTGTCACTTTGTTATTTTTTAAAACCAGATTATATTGATGGCCCATTTAGGAAATGGCCCATCAAAAAACTCATAGTCCCATTGACCATTTTGGCCTTCCCAATCACTGGTAGTGTAGATTCAAATTTGTTCAATTCATGACCCCCGGGGGTAGGGTGGGGCCAAAATGGCCTATCAAAGTTTTACATAGGAATATATAGGAAAAATCTTAAAAATCTTCTTCTCAAGAACCATTGAGACAGGAAAGATTAAACTCATGTGAAATTATCCTCAGGTAGTGTAGATTCAAGTTTGTCCAAATCATGACCCCCAGGGGTAGGGTGGGGCCAAAATGGCCGATCAAAGTTTAATTAACATAGGTATATATAGCGAAACCTTTTAAAATCCTCTTTTCAAGTACTTCAAATCCATGCATAGTGATATTTATATGGAATCGTTCTCAGGTAGTGTAGATTCAAGTTTGTTCAAAACATGACCCCCTAGGAGGTTAAAATTCAGGCCCCCCCAACTCAGTAAACTTTCAGTTCTGATCTGATATGTGCTTTTTCCTAGCAAATTGCTCAGGTGAGCGATGTGGCCCCTGGGCCTCTTGTATAGAATATAAAATTACTTGTCTATACTCAAAATTTTGGGTGTTATAAAATTTAAGCAAAACTTCAAAGTTCAAAAAGTCATTATTAGTCATATTGATGTAAAAATATCCCCAGGTAGTGTAAAATAAAATTGGTTCAAATTATCCCCCCTCCTTGGGATGGAGGGTTGGGGGAAGTAGGCGATCAAAGTTTTTGATAGGTCTGGAGTATAAAATGTGTAGAACAGCATGGCCAAAGTTAATCAGGTGAGCATTGTGGCCCTTGGGCCTCTTGTTTGACCTAGGAATTTGATTTGCATTTGAGAAACTTTGCCAAAAGCTGCAGGGGCATCAATGTTTGATCAGTGTTTGAAAAAAATTTATGTTATTTTAATATTGTGATTTTGATTGTAACTGAAAAAAATGTTTCAAGATGGGAATAAATTATTAAGGGTGTACAATGTAATATGTAAATGAATTATTAATGTTCTGTGTTTCTTCGTATTTGCAGAGGGATTAGCAGTATAGTGAGACGATGTGTAGAAAAAGAGACAGGAAGAGAATTTGCTGTAAAAATAATTGATATAAGTGGGGAAAAGTCGGAAATATATGAAGCAGACCTCACAAAAAAGGATACTTTGAGGGAAATTAACATTCTTAAAATGTGTAAAGGCCATGAACATATTAGTAAGTAAATAAAGGGTTAATATATCCAGAATTTTTTTTAAAAAGCAACAAGTCGATGAAGAAGAAAATTGAGTTTTAACACTAACAAGTGCCTAAAGTTACACTTCCCATAGGGATTTTTGTGCAAAGGGTTTTCTTAGCACTGGAATTTAAGTCCTGTGAAAAAGAATCATATTTGGCTGTACTTTTTCAAAAACCGGAGATTTTCATTATAATTTTAAAAAAAAAACCACAAATTTTTACTTACTAACTTACAAGATGTGTTTGTGAAACACTATGCACCCGACTACAACAATATTCGAAAAAGCTATTTTAGCATATAGGTCACAGTCAAGGTCTCAAGGTTATTGACCTTGATGTCATTCCAAAGAATTTATTATAATATACAATTATTGCTGTTTTTTGAGGTCAATACAATGATTTAGCCATCTGAGGAGTATAATATTCACCGAGCCCGAAGGGCGAGGTGAATATTGTACTTCGAAGATGGCTAAATCATTGTATTGACCAAAAAAACAGCAATAATTGTTTTATTATATGATTCACTGATAAAATGATATAGCTCGTTAATTGTTCGCATTTAATTCAGTCTTAGCCAAATACAAGAGAGAAGCAGGCTTAAAATGTAAATAAACCTTAACAGTCGTATCAATTTGAAATGTTTTTTTTATCAACTTTAATTGCCATGAAAAAAGATATATAATGTCAGTATTTTTTATAGGATTGATTTTGAAAGGAAGGAGTATTATCAGGGAATTATCAGGGAAAAGTGACTGCCAAAAAGAAAAATTGTTGTTCAGTAAAAGTGTTGGAGGGGGGTCCCTGCATCCCCTCTTACATGTACCACCCTCACCCGAAAATATATATTCCCTTATGTTTTGTTCACATGAAAAAAGGTCATAGTCGTTTAAATATTTGTATCAATTTGGAATTTCCCGATCTATTTTTAGATCAATGTAAATGAAATAAATCCTTGTATTCACCTGGAACGTCACGTGCAGGTCAATACAACGTAGTATTTTTCTAACATAGTTGGATCTCAGCCAATCAGAGAGATGGAAATTATTCAGTCATATAATAAAGTGGAGTATGCATACTAAATATGAAGTCTCTATCTCCAAAAGTTAAGGCAAAGGTTCGAAAAAGCTATTTTTAGCATATAGGTCACACTGACAGTCAAGGTCATAAGGTCATTGACCTTGGTGTCATTTGAAAGAGTTTAATTTGTGGAGTATGTACACCAAATATGAAGTCTCTTTCTCTCATGGTTCAAAAGTTATGGTGAAGGTTCAAGTTGAAAACAAACACACAGATAAGATGAAAACATTATGCGCCTGCGATCTATCGATCCCGGTGCATAAAAAGTTGCTATGGTAAATGTGTCAAATTGATATAGATTTCTTCACCACCTGTCCACTGTCCATAATTCCTGCTAAACAGAACATGAAAATACAGAAATTACTTTGCAGTGCTCTTCATCATTTTTACACATTTTGAAGTATGTTGTTATACTGCCAGTGTATCAGATTTCTTGATCTTGAAAATGAAATAAAAAAATGTTTTTTGACCCAGTTCTAGGGTTTATTATGAATAATTCCATTTCAATCAAAATTTATGTGAGTTTTTAAAGATTTTTGATACTGAAGCCTTATATTGCATGTACATTGTACCAAAGAAAAAAAAATTATTTACTAGTATATGCTTGAATTATTTTTTTTTTCAGTTGAACTTCATGATACCTTTGAAACACCTACCTTTATATTTCTTGTATTTGAACTGTAAGTATGAAAGCTTTTTTAAATTAATATTTTTGTGTTAAAGGGATTTGACTTTTGAGGTCACCTGAATCACTCAGGTGCCCTATTGCTGTATCTGTTTTCATCCATCCTGCATTGGCAATCATTCGTTAACTATGAACACTTTTAGCGTCTCAAAAACCTTTTAACCAATTACAATCATTTTTGTCATGTATTGTCTAGCTAGAGTTAAAGGAAAAATTTATGAGTTTCATGTACCTTGCCCCATGGGACAGAGGGAATGGGGATAAAAGAATCAAGGTCAGCGGGATCTTTAAAAATCTGCTTCTTTACTCCTGTACATCAAACAGTCAAACTGTTGGCACAGATGTAATAAGCATTGAGTCCTCTATTGTGATATTCATGGCCCAAGGGTAAGTGTTTCTGGAGATAAGACAGGGGTCTTATGACCATATTGAGTAAGTGCATAAATTTTAGCTCACCTGAGCTTTCCTGATCACAATTTGTCTTTAGTCCTTCTGTAAACTCTTCACATTTTTAGCTCACCTCAACGAAGTTGAGGAAGCTTATGTGATATGGAACAGTTTTCTTTTTAAGTACTTCTATGCCCTATTTAGATTAGACATGAAAGATGCCTCTAGTATGTGTCATGTACCAGTGAAGGTTGCATCAAGGGATGAAAATTACATTTTCTTGATGGGTGATTAGTTTGAAGTTTTTGGATAGGTCTTATTCCAAAATAATTGCAAGCCAGTTAAATCAGTTAGTCAGATCAAAATTGCATAAATTTGCACTTGTGGATGTACACTTATCAAATGTTGGTTAATTTTGTGACTTTGCCTTACTTAAACATGTTAAAGACAACATTTGCTGAGGCGAGCTCTGTAATCTCTGATTACTTACGTTTTCCTATCCAATGCTCAGATGACCTGGGCCTCTTGTTATGTAAATCATAGACTAACTTTTGTGGCTTCTTTGCTACCCTAAGATACAAGAAAGCTGGTATACATTTATAGATGAACAAATGTGCAGGCATTTCTCTCTTATAACAGCTATATTTTATATAATTTTTTTTTTCAGATGCAAGCAAGGAGAACTTTTTGATTACCTTACTCAAGTTGTAACATTATCAGAGAAACGTACCAGGTAAATTGATATAAATCAATTGAATATTTTAACTGTATGTATTTTGATAATGGCCCCCTTCAGTCCAATATCAGTTAACACTGTTTTGGAGGACTATTTTTTGCACTGTTGCTCACTTAAGCTAAACAGATCACATTTTGTCTGGGTCCAACTGTCTCTCTAGTAACTTTTCACATTTCCCACTTGCCGATTTCAACCAATTTGCCACAAAATATATTCAGGTAAAGGGGATAACAGTTTGTTAAATCAAACAGCTGTGCCTTCTTTCAAGTGAAGATGATTATAAATTAAAGAAAATTAAGATCATCTTTTGAAAATCTTAGCTGCAAAAACCACTGAACCAAAAAATATTACACTTTAAAATAAGTGGATTGGATTGATTGTATGTTGTTTTACATCCTGTTACAGTATTATAGAGACGTCCAGATATACTGGTGAATTTACTAAGTTCTCAGGGTCATCAAGCAGTGACAGATCTTTATCGTGCCAAAGCCTGTCATGATACAGGGCCTCATTTTTAGCTTTACTGGTCTGTCACAACAGCTGTTGTGCTCTGTTCAGACAAATATAAAAAAAAATTTCTATTTACAATTTTTTTAGATATAAATAAAATCAATATAATATATATTAACATTATTTACAACATATTTATACAAAAATTATCTACAATAAACAAAAAGTCTCTAGATAGTCTATGCCATCGTAGTGTTCCACATGACCACATCCCGACACGCCCATTTTATGAATGACTCCCGCCAACTGGCTTCCACTGGGTTTCCGTGTACCAAACAAAATGGCTGGAATATAGCTGGAACCTTTGAATAAAATAATATTTTTAAGTTGCAGGTTATGTATACTTTAATAAACTAGTCACCATCGACTAACATTGCACTAATGGCATACCATACAAACAGTACCGGTATATTTATAAATAATGTTAAGTCTTAGAATACTCAGCAAAACTTGTACATACGTAAACAGTAACAAAAAACGTTACTTGATTCAACTTCTTTCATAGTTGTTTTATGTCTTAAATGTAGAACTCAAAAATTTACATATTAAAGAAAAAGTAAACTTACCCCTAATATGGAGAAATGGTTACCATTGAAAAAACTACTTATCTACTCATCTTGGACTGCACATCAAGCATGTAAAAACTATGAAAACGTCATTTAAGGCCACATGTAGATATATATATGCATGAAACAGCATGTGCAGTGCTCCCTCTTAAGGTCTATGTCTCCTCTTGTTTATCTCAATAGGTTAACATGTGTAATATAAAACTAGTTTGATGAAGCTCTTGGGAACTGGACACCAAAATGGAGTAGAAGAACCATTTTGGGAACATTTGTTATAGATTTTATATCAGCTTTATCTGTTTTAGGATTATAATGAGGCAGTTAATAGAAGCTGTAGATTTTATACACAGTAAAGATGTAGTGCACAGAGACTTAAAGGTAACATTTATACAATTGAATATGTAGTTTGTTTTGTTTTTGTTTTTTGGATAACATGAATTAATTGCATTATTAATTACAAGAATTAAGTTAACATTTTTATAAAGGTTGAATTTCTACCTCTTCTGAGCCAAAGGTTCAAATAGCTGCATTGTATACACATATAAATCTATGACCATTTGTGCGGTGTGGTGTAAGTAAACATTTTAAAATATAGGCTAAAACTGAAGAACACCTTGGCCAATTATTGTCAATTTGTCACAGAGTATCCATGGCCTAAATGCTCCCGTTTATACTAAAAATAAAGGGTTGTGGCCCTGGAACAAGGGGAGATAAGTAAACAAAACCAAAAGTACATGTAGTGGTTGCTAAAAAATCTTTTTCTCCAGAACCACTGGACAAATTATCACCAAATTTACATAAATGAATGAGGATATGTTGAATATTAAAAATTCTTCCATCCTTCACCCTGGAACAAAGGACATGGTCTCAAAGTTACCGTATAAATAGAATTTTTAGCGAGGATTTAATTTTGGCATTAGTAGTGAGGGTCCTGAGATCACTAAAATTGAATTTCGCTAAAAATTAATTGCATTTTATTTGCAATAGCTTCTTTAGTAAGCATTTTAAAGTCGCTAAAATTACCTCTCGCTTAACATAAGTTACCAATTTTTAAGGAGAAATCGCTAAATTTGCGTCTCAATAAAATTTCCACTTATACGGTACTTCAAAGAGCTAAGTTCACTTTATGCATAAAAATGGCCCTGTCCTTATATTAATGAATAGAATGTTCCCTCCTTTTCATTTCATACACTGCTAATCAAAAAAAGTACTTTCATTTCCATTTCATAATAAATTTTCTTTTATTATTTATCTTAGTATTGGAAATCAGGCTTTAAGAAAATGCAGTGTTCTTGAATTGTGCAGAAAACAGGCCTATTTGACTATCTACAACAAAGAATTAAAATATGAGAACAGCCTCAGATCTAAAAATTAAAACTTTTTTTGATCTTCAAAAACAAGTAAGCTTTTCTGATCAAAATTTGTCCGTTGTCTGTCGTTGTAGTTGTTGTTGTCGTCGCCGTTAACTTTTCACATTTTCATCTTCTCAAGAACCACTGGGCCAATTTCAACCAAACTTGCCACATAGTATTCCTGGGTGAAGAAAGATATGGAGATAATGAACAGTATTCAATCTCAAAGTCCATAAAACAATACAAAATAGGAGCAGAGCAAACACGGACCTCTGAAACATCAGAGGTGGGATCAGGTGCCATGGAGGAGTGAGCATCCCCTACCGACCGGTCACACCCACTCCTTGTCATGATCGGGAAATAATGGAAAAATCCGTCGTCAATTCAGGGTATAAATAATGGACTAACAATTAGTAGGAAAAACGTCAGTCAGCATTTGACTCAATGATAAATTGTATTTGCTGACAAGGTCATTGTATCGACCATAGAACTTACGAAATGATGACTTTAAACAAGACTGTTGATATTCTTGTTTCATCAACTTGCTTGTCAATAATTTACCCCATTTTAGAAATTGTTCATACGTAGAGCATGCTCTTACGTATCGAATCAATTGAGATATATATACTCTGTATGCAGGTGATGAAGGTATATTGCTGCATAAGTAAGGGAAGTTGACGATAGAAAAGTTAAAGTCATCACATTTATCATATAGCTTGGTTGTTATATTACCATTTACATCTTTTCCAAGTAAAATATCCAAGTATGAAACAGATGTGTCAGACTCTGTGGTATCTTTTATCTCAAGCTCACCAAGATATATCGTATTGACGTAGGTATGGAAATTACCATTGTTAATTGACAATACATCGTGGATATATCTAAATGTCAAGTTGAAGGCCACAGCAAGTGTTTTCTTCTTTTCACGCATAAGATTTTGCACAAATTCTGCTTCCTATGAATATAAAAATAGGTCAGCTAATAATGGAGCACAATTGGTACCCATGGGAATTCCAATAGATTGTTGGAATACCTAGTCTCCAAAAACTACATAGATATTGTCAATCAGAAACTCAAGCATCTCTTTGATGTCAACTTCAGAGTACTTGTGAAGGGGATTCAAGTTTGTTCAAAAGAAGGGCCTAGCCCTTTTCCGAGGGAAGATAAATACCGTAAATCTGTAAATTTTTGCTGTAGATAAATTTTTAGCAAATTTGCGAGTTCATTGCATTCGCAAAAATATTTTTCTTAAAAATAAATTACCAATAAGAAAATGTAAACAAAGCAGTGGTCATTCGCAAAATTTTGAAACGTAAAAATTAATCAGCAGCATTTTGACCCCAATTCGCAAAATAAAATCGATGTAAAAATTTCCAGATTTACGGTAGTAATTAATGAAAAATTAATGGCAGCAATTAAAAATCTTCTTCTCCAGAACCACTTGGCCAGGAAAGATGTAACTCTTGTAGAAGCATCCTCAGGTAGTGTAGATTCAAGTTTGTTCAAATCATGACTCCCGGGGTTAGGGCTGGGCCACAATGGCTTGATCAAAATTTTACATAGGAATAAATAGGAAAATTCTTTAAAAAAATTTTTCTTCAGAACCACTGGGCCAGGAAAGATAAACTCATGTGGAATCAGGTAGTTTAGATTCAATTTTGTACGAATCATGACCCCCGGGGGTAGGGCGGGGCCACAATGGCTGATCAAAGTTTAACATAGGAATATATAGGAAATTTTTTTTAAATCCTCTTCTCCAGAACCACGGGGCCAGTAAAAATGAAACTTAAATGGAAACATCCTCAGGTAGTGTAGATTCAATTTTGTTCAAATCATGTAATTTGTTCAGGTCATGGCATCAGGGGATAGGGTGGGGCCAAAATAATTTTAAGTAATAAAGGGCGAATTTTATGAAGAACAACAGAGCAAAAGAAACTCTGGTGAGCATTGTGGCCCATGGGCCTCTTTTTTTATTTCTAAATATAAATTATGATAACAGGAAAAAAGAAATAAAATGTTCCAATTTTTTTTCAGCCAGAAAATATACTGCTAGATGACAATCTAAATGTCAAGGTGTCTGACTTTGGGTTTGCAACAGTATTAGGCCCTGGAGAAGAACTCACAGGTAATTTTTTCAATGCTTTAAGGTCAACTTTTTAGCTCTACTGGTCAGAGACCAGAAGAGCTTATGCGATAGTAATGCGTCCGTCGTCCGTCTGTCTGTCTGTCCGTCTGTCTGTAAACAATTTTTCAAAACGCTACTCCTCCTACAGTTTTGGTCTGATTTTAATATAACTTGGCACACAAGTAGACTACACAAAGATACATAAAATAGTGCATCGGATTTTTATTTCGATGACCGATGTTGCCATGGTTACTAAAAATAGAATTTTCTGTGAAATTCCTTTAAAATGCTACTCCTCCTACAGTTTTGATCTGATTTCAATATAACTTGGCACACAAGTAAACTACACAAAGATACATAAAATAGTGCATCAGTTTTTGATTTCGATGAATGGTGTTGCCATGGTTACTAAAAATAGAATTTTCTGTGAAATTCCTTTAAAACGCTACTCCTCCTACAATTTTGATCTGATTTCAATATAACTTGGCACACAAGTAGCTACAGTAAGATACATAAAATAGTGCATTGGATTTTTATTTCGATGACCGGTGTTGCCATGGTTACTAAAAATAGAATTTTCTGTGAAATTCCTTTAAAATGCTACTTCTCCTACAGTTTTGATCTGATTTCAATATAACTTGGCACACAAGTAGAATACACAAAGATACATAAAATAGTGCATCGGTTTTTGATTTCGATGAATGGTGTTGCCATGGTTACTAAAAATAGAATTTTCTGTGAAATTCCTTTAAAACGCTACTCCTCCTACAATTTTGATCTGATTTCAATATAACTTGGCACACAAGTAGACTACACTAAGATACATAAAATAGTGCATCTGTTTTTGATTTCGATGAACAGTGTTGCCATGGTTACTAAAAATAGAATTTCTTGTGAAATTCCTTTAAAACGCTACTCCTCCTACAGTTTTGATCTGATTTCGATATAACTTGGCACAAAAGTAGACTACACAAAGATACATAAAATAGTGCATCCATTTTTGATTTCAATGAATGGTGTTGTCATGGTTAATAAAAATAGAATTTTCTGTGAAATTCCTTTAAAACTCTACTCCTCCTATAATTTTGATCTGATTTCAGTATAACTTGGCACACAAGTAGTCTACACTATTATACATAGAATAGTGCATCAGATTTTGATTTCGATGAACGGTGTTGCCATGGTTACTAAAAAAAGAATTTCCTGTGAAATTCCTTTAAAACGCTACTCCTCCTACAGTTTTGGTCTGATTGCAATATAACTTGGCACACAAGTAGACTACTCTAAGATATATAGAGTAGTTCATCGGTTTTTGATTTTGATGAAAGTGTTGCCATTGTTACTAAAAATAGAAATGTGTGAAATTCCTTTAAAACGCTACTCCTTCTACAGTTTTGGTCTAATAGCAATGGCTTCTTTTCTCATCCTTTGTTATAAGCACAAACCAGTAGAGCTACAGTCTCAACAGAGACTTCTGGTTTCTTTGAAGTTCTCAGAAAGGTCTTAGTACATAAAGTCAAATTTTTTACCTAATATTAGTTTTTCAAAATTACATATTTAAAGAAATTGAGGTTTAGATTAATTTAACCATAGATGCCAATGAATATTAACATGAAATGAAATTAGTAATTTTATATGGTGTAATTGCAATGATTGGAAAATCATTCTACACCATACATTGTGAAATGATCGAAGTATAAAATAGAAGATATTAAAGGTACTTTATATGTATAAAAATTGTGCAATTTCTTCAAAAGCCATGATACCTATGATTTTTATTTCTAAAATGTGTTTGTTGATCAAATTTGAATTGGAAAAATCATAGAGGGTTATTTTATATGCATTTCCTGAAAATTTATTTGAGATATACTAAGAACAAAGTACGGTATTAGCAGTAATTCGCTGCCAATAATACGATATTTTAATCTTCTTTGTATCGTTTTTTGATGTTATGCTTTGAAGTAAGGAAGATGCGAACTAAATTCCACTGGCACAAAAATGACGTAATTTTTAACTATAACGTCACTAATGCGCGCTAAACATGGAATGGTCGTGTAAAATCGTTAAATTATATTGAAAAATGAGTAATCTTTGCTGAAATTAGACCCTTTCACATGCAACAACCACTTTTATACTCCGCATATAAGTTCACCATTACATATCGCAGTTACACTATTAAAATAGTGTTGGTTGTCACCTGTGATCAATATGAATTTTGGAAAAGTTAACATTCGGAAAAAAGATATTTTACCGACACAATTTTCCTGATATCGATATTAATGACGCATAATTGATACAGAATGAGCTTTTCTTATTTCAGGTACCACCACTGGATATTGTAAACTATGAATATGAATAAAATATTTTGAAAACAAAGAATAAATGGTAACTAAAGATGCCGCTTGTACTTATGCTGTTTGTACAACATCTGCACAAGTGTATTTAGACTATAGTGTCCGTTGGTTGTACATGTAGTATTGAACAACAGTACTAAAATATCCTAGACCTCAATTCATTCCACAGAAATAGCACAATATTTTTTTTTTAATTTATTAAAGATTAATTTTAAAAAATCAGAAATACCTCAGTATATTTATATTTTCTACGAGTCTTCCTCAATGTACATGTGTGTGTAGTCTTACTATAGTCATAGTGTGACCTCCGAACAATAATATGACAACCATAAAAAATACAATAAAATGTATATGCATCGAATACGATAACCTTTTAATCTGTAACATTGAAAGCATGGTCCAACATTAAATATGTTTTAAAGCCTTTTATTGTGAAAAATAAATATTATAATATTCATGATAATAATAAATCTGCAGTAGTTGATAGGAGTTCAACAAAACAATACAAGTAAAAAAGTTGCCGAATGCTATATAGTTAGTATGCACATTATTAGTCCGAAATAGCACATACAGATACAAATGTTTATTTTCTTACATGTAATTTTTTTTGGCAAATATTTCATGCAGCATCATCCAAAGTTATAGATTACATGTTTACACAAATTTATATTTTGAAGCTAGTGATAGATCGGGAAGGGGGGGGGGGTGGTCTTGCTAAAACGCGGAATGGAAAACGGAACGGAAAATTAGTGTCAAGCAAATATACTACATTCTAAATAAATCACACAAAAAGCAATTTTCTTGAAATAAAAGTCATATATAAAGAAAATTCATCTACCGTAAATCTGGAAATTTTTACGTCGATTTATTTTTGCGAATTTGGGTCAAAAAGCTGTTGATTAATTTTTACGCTTCAAATTTTTGCGAATTGTCACTGGTGCTAAAAATAAAAATCACTGAAGATTTTCATATCAGGTTATTTTTCAAATAATATGCCCAGTTAGAATACCACCAATATACTCGCAACGTGGCAAGAAATTGCAAAATCGCTCCCAAACAATTTTGATAAAAATACAAAAGGATTTGCACTGAGAATAATTTCTAAACAAACATTTTTTAGGGTTGTGTACGCCTTTTAACCTAAAGTATAATCCAAATGAAGAAAAAATATATTAACTAATTTTCTCAACGTTTGGTTTTTTTCTCACCTAAAATTTACACGCCGCGTTTACGTAATTTGGAATTTTCTAGTAAATGCACTGAATTAGAGTTATCGCCCGTGTTGATATACGGTTAGATAAAATGACAGTAACTGTTCTCTCTTTATTGGCAAATTAATTGATGAAAATAATTAAAAAGGGACATACCTCCTCAGTGCTTGTCAAATCATCGAACGATATTGCATATAATGAGGGCAATTTACACGCACGGGTAATTAACTTGTACTTATATAGTAGACTAGTGTAAACAGGTTTCTTTTGAAAATGACCAGTGCTTACCGACGCCTATTCACTAAGTTTAAAAAAGACACGAGTTCTCAGAAACAAAATTCTTCACATGTTGATTTATTTTTAAGAAAAATATTTTTGCGAATGCAATGCACGCGCAAATTTGCTAAAAATTTATCTACAGTAAAAATTTCCAGATTTACGGTATTTTTTTTTTAAGCACATTCATAAAAAGAAATATGGTTTTGAAAAAAGGGGAAGGAAAAAGGCTACTGGTGTGTTTATACATGTACATGTATCTGTAAAGACATATGTTTGACATTCAGCTCATGCATACATGTACATGTATGTACTGAAGAATCCAGGAATCTTGTAGAAAGGAGGGCAGTTTGGGATCGGGGCAGGGGCCCACAACAACACCAAAAATTGATTTATTAAATTTTATGTATATTTTGGACACAAAAGCCCCCCCCCTTTAAATCCGCCAGCTTTGCAGTGGCATGATATGCATATCAAGAAATTCAAATATAAATAGCTGAAACATTAGAGAAAATTCTTGCAAATTAATTCAAAACATATAATTTTTTTTTTCTTTAATTGAAGCAGCCTTAGTATAAAATTTTTACATCATTGTTCCATTCCAGTTGAGTACCACATACATGCCAACTTTTGAAAATTGCCATGGGGGATTTAGCGCGTGACGACAATTTTCAAAGCTTTAAATTCGCGACATTTTGTTGTGAAATTAAATTATTATGAAATGATTTTTTTTTTTAATTTATAATATTGATATCACCTATCAATACAACTAAAGAATAAATTTAACACCCAAAAATAATGTTTGTTTGTTTTTTTTCCAAAAGTGAAACATTTTTGCTCAGATAGGTGCCTCTCTCACTAAAGAAGGTGTATTTAGTTACATATGTACACAACTTTTTTTTCTGGGACACATGGTATAGTGAAAAATTGAAAATTGTACAACTTTTTAAATCATTTTTTTCAAAGGCTAAAAAATATATGGGGTTTTGATACTGTAAATTAAGTCATGTTTCTGGAAACATTTTGGAGATTTATTTATATTTCAATTAATTAGAAATTCTAATAAGATATTAAATTTACAGAAATTTATTTCATCTATCCCAAAAAGAATTATTATTTTTTTTACAGTCATGAAATTTGTCAGGCTTGACGGTGCCAT